TCTCCAGACCTCAGTCCAATAGAACATCTTTGGAGGGAGCTTAAACTCCGCGTTGCTCAGCGACAGCCCCGAAACCTGACAGATCTAGAGGAGATCTGTGTGGAGGAGTGGGCCAAAATCCCTGTTGCAGTGTGTGCAAACCTGGTCAAGAACTACAGGAAACGTTTGACCTCTGTAATTGCAAACAAAGGTTTCTGTACCAAATATTAACACTGATTTTCTCAGGTGTTCAAATATTTATGTTCAGCAGTGCTAGACAAATAAATTCTTTAAAAATCTTTCAATGTGAAATCCAACAATTTTTTTTAATTCTGTCTCTCAGAGTGGGAATGCACCTACAATGTGAATTTCAGACCCCTCCATGATTTCTAAGTGGGAGAACTTGCAAAATCGCAGGGTGTTCAAATACTTCTGTTCCTCACTGTATTTTTCAGTGTGGCTTGGAGATAGGCACTGATCCTGTGGTTGTAGCCTCACCCATGGGAGGGACATTTATTCAGTGACTCATACCTGGGTTAGATTGATATCTCAGTACTTGATGAAAAGCAAGTTTGGTCTTGAAACTGCACTTTTTTTGGGAAGCAGAAATCATCAACCTGGACAAAAAAGGTGTGCGTGTGTTTTGCAGTGATGCATTTATCATACAAAATTTGTGGCCCCTCTAATTACTGAATTTAAGCATAAGGACAGAACAGAAAAGAAAAATGACCTTAGTTGTACAATAAGTATTTTTCCATCTGTAAGATATATCCACTGTTTTACTTTGCTCACCTCATTGTCATAGGCCCACGGTGGTATAGAGAACTGCATGGCAGGCATGAAAGCAGACAGCTCCAACCATCGGATGTATAGCTCTCTGTCTGGTAGACTGCTTTTTCCATCATAACCACCTAAAAAAGAGACAGGTACTGTACAGGACTGTAGACTAGAACCATATCAAAATCTACACAGCCAACGTTCAACTCTCAACCTCTCCATAGACATATGTGGTGGAGTACCGTACCTGCAGTGCGGTTGGGGTATGCATTCCCTCCTATCACATCAGGTAAAACAAACTGATAGCCCAGAATGCTAACAGTCAGAACAGTGGGGATGATGGACTTGAGGCCCAGCTCATAACCCCACACTGAGTCTCTGTCAATGATCCTGAAGAAGCAGGAGATGTTCTGACTCTGATAACCCACCCTCAGCTCTGCACGCTCATTGAATGGTATGGCCATCTCTGTGTAGCGCCGGGTGAAGGTTGAGGGGTCAGACAGTGGGACCAGGGTGCTAAACTGGCGTGGGAGGTAACTTGTTTCTCCAGCATCAAACTTAAAGGAGGTCACAGCATAGCGGGTTTTAAGCATGCGCAGATGTGAGGAATACCACTCCCGGGCTTCTGGATTGGTAAAGTCCAAAATTCCTCCAATGCCATTCCACCAGCGAACCAGAGCAGGCAGCTCACCGCTCGGTTCCCGGACAAACAGTCCTTTCTCCACAGCAACACCAAAATTAATGGAGTCATAGTTAATAAAGGGATGTGTCCAGAGAGACACTTGAAACCTGTCCTCTTTGAGTTTGTCAAACATACCACTGACATTGGGAAACTTCTGTGGGTCAAAGTCAAACTCTCCATAGTCAGCTGTGTAGCGGTCATCCAGGTCCAGATGGGAGCATGTGAAGCCATGTTTGGTGATTTCAGAGGAGTACTGCAGCAGCTTCTCCTGAGTTATAGCCGTTTTGTGGAAAGCCCATGTGGACCACACAGGGTATTTGAACACTTCAGGAGACGGGACTTTGATAGGCTTTGGGAAATACCGACGCACCTAAGCAAAACACATGCATACAGAGCAGAGAGTTACTAAAGAGATATTTGCATCATTGTTTTTTTTTATCTAAAAGCACAATGGAAAGCTTTACTCCCCTGTTTCTATTTGATTAATTTGGTTTGAAGGATTACTTTCTTGCTGAGAGTTACATGAGAAACAGGTAACTGTGTAAAGCCAAAACTTGACATTTTAACACATTTTTGTACAGATTAGACAAACAACATATAATTAATGAGCGTTATGGTATTTTTCCATCAACGTGCTTTAGCCTGCTTCTATTCTTGCTGACTCGGGGTCAGTCGGCCCTGCTTCCACCCAGGGCCAAGTGGGGCTGAGCTCCACCTTCAACAATCTCTGAAGGCTTATTGAGAGACGTGACTGCTTGAATGTTGTGCTAAGGTAAAGTTCTTATGCTCAGCATTCACCTTTTTCTCCACAATTTCATTGCAGAACGATTTAAAACTGGAATCTCTCACTTGGTCTTTTGATGGGGGGTTAAAATAATGCTTAGCTTCAAGGACTCCACACTGCAAGCTAGTAACAACACACCAACACCTTGAGTTATGAGTCACTCCTCAGCGGCCTGTACCACACCCATATCATCAAGGTTTGGAAGATTAAACACTGTACTTTACAGTGAAGTGAAAACAACTGTGTTGACTCAGGAGCGGATCAGTACAGCTCCGTCACTCACATCTCAGCTCAGCAGGGAGAGGCTGAAAAACACCATTAGAGGTGCTGCTAGGTGGACTGAGCTGTTTCTTCCAGTCCTCATGCTAAGCTAACCACCTATTTAACTAACAGATAGGGGAGTGGTAGTGATCTTCTCACCTGACTCTCAGCTAGAAGACAATTAAGGGTACTTCCCAAAATGTCATACCCTTGCTTTAAACACTACCACTCCACAGACAGAGGAAGTAAGGAAGTAAGATGGGTTATTAATATCAAAACAATAGGAGGGTTCTCGGTATGTCTATACTCACCATGTATTTGTGAATAGAGGTAACATCTGACCCCACACACACTCTATAGCTGAGCTCAGGTAAGGCCTGCTGTCCCTCTGGTGGTTTGAAGGGAGAATCCCGGTACTGGGCCTGGAATCTGAGTGTCCTGTTCTTCTCTGACCAGCCCAAATGAAACGGTACTGAGTCATTAATTTTGATTGCAGTTGCATTCGAGGACAACCAGTAGCGTTCAAGGATTCCCCCAAAACCATTCCGATTGGCGTAGATATCACTGGTGATGAAAGGCCGTGGTTCCTCCTCACCCTGGATCCTGATAGGCCAGTACTGTGTTGCTGTCTCTGCCCCTCCGTACCAGTGAGAGTCATTATAGGCCATGGCGTGCTCCACTGTGCGCTTATTTTGCAGCTCCTCCCAGCGAACACGGTAACACATCACAGTGCCCTTTGGTTGGACAGGCTCTATAAAGAAGTTGAGCTTTCCAGAATCTGACTGAGTGCAGCTCAGAATATTTCCCTCCTTTGAGCAGGAGTCCAGATTCAGAGTGCCAGACCTGAGACAGTGAATGGACAGAGGGGAAGAAAATACAGGAGCTGGTTTAGCACAGGATTAAATGAGCAAGTATTAGTAGCAGCAAGACATATTCCTGCATTGCTGAATAGAGAAAGCCCACAGAAATGTTTGAAAGTATTACAATACTGCAATAGAGAATAAATGCAATCATAATACAGAAAGCATTGAATGTACCATTCGATTGCTCTGATGTTCTGCCAAGTACAGGGACTGTACTATGTCTATCTACCTCTGTCGATGTGAGCTCTACTAATAAAGTACACAAGTAAATCAATCTCCCCTAAGGGTGTAATCATGTGTTTGTCTCATATAGCTTTCCATGCAGCCACACGTTGCAGACAGGCAGCCTTTAAGTGTGGCTCAATATAGAAAGAGAAATAACTAGTCTCAGGTGGAAGAAAAGTTCTTTAATGGCTGTTAGTTTCACATATCAGATTATACTTTACAGAAATTCCTATTTTTCTGGTCACTCTGTTTTGACTGCTTTGAAATGGCCATAGCATCAGCATTATAGCCCTCATTATTTATATATTACATCTCCCTTACTTATTAATTACTTAAATCTGAAGCAGTTAATTGATGGAAAAAAATGATCTGCAACTATTTCAATCATCAGCTAATTATTGAGTTACTTCCAAAGTAAAAATACAGTACCAACAATTCACAGGTACCTGTTCAGTATGTTTGTTTTATTTGATATTAAATACCAAAACCTTCTGACATTTCATAGACAAAAACCTGAATCAAGATAATAACCATAAGGTTAATGAAAATGATCCCGGCAGTGTACCCACCTGAAGGTCATAGTGAAGATGACAGCCCCTGCCTGGTTATGAATGATAAAACCATCCTTGTTGAGGTTTAATAACTCAGTCTTCAGCAGCTGGGCCTTATGGAGTGATGCTGAGTAGTAGCACCAGGCGACAACAGCAGCCAGCACCAAGGCACAACCCAACATTCCTGCCATCGCCATGGGTCGGCCTTCATTAGCCAGTTTCTTTTTTAGCGGAGAGCCCCCAGCTCTTCCAACTGTCTGCTGGTCCCAAGGAGCCACTGGGACAATCTGATACATAGTGAAGTCTTCAGGCAGTCAGGTGTGTAGAGAAGTAGGTTTAGTGGCAGGAGTGGACAGCTGTAGTCAACTTGCTGTCAACATTGGTGAAAACGTTTGGAATATATCTTCACACTGGCAGTGGCAGAAGTGAAGGAAAGTTTCTACCTGCCAATCTTTAGCAAATTCTCCATTTCTGAATAAGTGCTGACTTGTCCAAACCTACAGAGGCCAACGACAGAGATCAACATTCAGTTAAAGTATGTCTCAATTTGTAAAACCACAGGCAGAAAAATGTGTCAAAAAATACACCATTGCAGGGATCATCAGCACACATGTTATATACTTATATGTTATATACTCAAAAATATATATATATATACCAAAGGTTCCAGTAAGAAAAAACTATGTATATGTATAATTAAATAATATGTTGACAGGCATGCAAGTTAAATTTCACATAACTGATGTAGGACATATAAATCCAGTTCTAGCTCATTATAAACCCATTACACAGGGAATTTCTAGTTATCACCATTGACTGTCTCTAGGAACTACAGTTATAAATAGCTTTGTAGCTCTCCACACTGCGTACTCCAAAGCTGCATACTGCAATAAAGGCACTTATCACTCAGCTTCTGTTTCCTACTGTTCTCTAAATAAAAATGTCTTGTACAGTGTGTTCTTTTTTAAAACAAACTAAAACTAAAATTAAAACTAAAGGTGTCTCTGAGCAAATTTGACTATACTGACCATTTACAGTATGTGTACCACCACCAGTACCACTAGATTGTTCACTGTGTTAGTCTCTCAAATAAAGCTGCATCTTACTGGACAGTGTGTACTTGCTGACAAGTGCGCCCTGCGGTGTATTTCAGCAGCACTGGCCAGTAGAGAGAGCGAGCACAGGAGCTTTAATCTGATAAACGGCAGGTAACCAGGTTTCGCAGCCACATAGGCACTCATGGTAACAGAACCAGTGAAACCATAAAAATAGGCTATGATCAGAGATAGTGCAGACACCATGTCAGTGTGGTTCAATTACATTTATGTCTCAGGTAACAGCCCTTTGGAAACAGGTAAATAATATTTAGGAGTAGAACCCAAATAACTGTACTGGAGCAAAACTAGAGTTTTCAAACTGAGCACAAGTCAAGGGTTTGCAACAAAGCCCTACTTAACCTCCCCACAGTTTTCATTATGTCGCAGCACAACATTCTTCTTTTATTCTGATGAAGGTTTGTGGCAATGCATCAGTGAGGGAAGAAAACCTTGCAAATGCATACCTTGGAAAAATTTGGTTCCTGCGTTTAAATAACTGCTTACACAAGCTTCTGTCCTTTGCCTCCTGTAAATGTACAGTTACAGACTAAGCTGGGTCAACTTCTTAAATTCAATTATTTATGTTTATGTACCAAAAGCTGAACTTATTTCTAATTTGCCTTAGCTCCCAGTTCCCAACCTTGCTCGGCATGAGCACAAGACATCCCCATGTTTTTGTTCCAGACCCTCCCCATTGCAATCCTCAGATCAATGCTAACTAGGTTTATTGTATTAAAAATCAATTACCTTAATGGCACAAGTAATTCCATGACACACTGTTTTGTGCTGTGAAAGTCTTTGATTTTCAAGTCCTATATAGGGCTATTAGTAGTCACTACTTTTTAAAGGAAACTCTCATATAGTAACCATTTTAAGCTATGTTTACAAATTAGAAAGTTATATTTTACAGAGATCCTAAGTGTAGAAATACTGAATTCATGTCTCAACTTTATTGGCTTTGGGCACTTAATGTATGTAATGCAAAGTGTCTACTGTTTTAAAAAAAAAACAGCAGCAAAACAAATATTTTACTCAAGTACTGTATTTCAGTACAATTTTAAGGTATCTGTACTTTACTTGAGTATTTTAATTTTCTGCTACTTCATACTTCGGCTTCATAACATTTCAGGGGCAAATATTGTACTTTATAGTACATTTCATTTATTTGATAACTTTAGTTAGTACTTTTACTTTGAGTACTTAAAGCATATTTTGAAGCTAATACTTTAGTAATAGACACGACTAACATTTTGAACGCAGGAATTACTTTTAAGTTTTTTTTCACAGTGTGGCATTGCTACTTTTACTTAAGTAAACAATCTGAGTAGTTCTTCCGCCATCGCACCGAACAACGAGCATATATGCACAGGCACACTTTTCCTCCACAAAGAATGCTTTTTTGTATTGGCTATTTAATTTGGACCTTGAGTCTGGAATAAATACCTCAAACAAAACCATTTGAAAACACTATCTTCTGAACATTTTGTAATTTTCACGTTTAACTAAATACCCAAACATTTCCGAGGTGCGCGTGCCAAATGCCATAAAAACTAACTGACGTTACTGTTTTTGCTGTATCGGTAGCGTTAACGTTAGTGACTGTAACCGGTTGTACCAGTTGTCACGAGCTGGCCTTTAAAACGGCCGTATTCACAACTAATAGCTATACTGGCTTTATCAATAGCACACATATAAGTTAGAAAATACATTAAAAAACGTGTTATCTATACCGTTGACAACAGTACCTTTACTCCGCAGACACTCTGGATGCAGTTTTGAGCTACCCACTGTGCAAAGCTGTGAGCGCAGTAAAACAGTGCGCAGCCGCAGAGCAATTTAAAGTTCCATGGTCCTTCCCATAAACTGTGTAGGAGGCTATTCGTTCATAAGTCTGTCACTCACATACTACGTCATGCTGTGGAATTCTGGGACATGTAGTGTTATAATAATACTTTGTTTAAACTGGAGACAACTAAAACTACAACGGCATTAAAGTTTTTCCTGTTAGCAACGGAAAAGATATTTTAAAAAAATATATACTATACTATTTTTGAATTACTGCCTGCTTGTTATCCTATTTGCTACCATTTTCCATAAAACAATTCCAAAATCAAACACAGTTCGTAGTATGCTATTTTTATTATTGCGTGTTTGTCCTTGACGACTCTGAGTAAAAATGATGCAATTCTGTTGCAGTTTGTAACAAATAATTGCAGAATCTGACCAAACTAGGCTGTGCTGACAAATCAGCTGGTACAGGAGCAACACTGCAAAACTGGGTGAGATCATCGAGCGCAATTACGATTGTCGACTTGTTTTCTACCACTGGGTGACAGTAACACGCTAGAAATGACACGATGAACGAGCATGAAAAAACAAGTACTCGGCTCTTGTTGATCTTATATACACATACTTTATTCTTGTTATTGTTCTCCCGTTTAAACAGCTGTTCGCTAATTGAAAATTTGTCTAATTCTTTTTAATTGTTGGTCATTTTCTCTGTCTTGTGTGATAGTAAACTCAGTATTTTCTTCTGGGTCAAGTGTAAGGTGAAGACATCACCTTTGACTTTGTTATAGCTTTTTTTTTTTTTATCAATTAATTCATTACACAAAAGTAAGATCACTTAATTTTAAGATAATTTTATGTAGTCTCACTGCTAAATATGTTGCATGTTCCTTAACAATTGTTCAGTCAACTGTATAGGCTACTATAAACTTACCCCAGAAAACAAAAGGCCAACAGGTTTTCACTGACAGGTTACTGAGCAATAGAAAATGTAGTCTAATGGGAAAAGAAATAGGAGCGATGAGAGTTACAGTAGTACTCGTGGTTGCTATAGTAACAGTAAAATTACTAGAAATTGTGGGAGTGCTGAAAATAATAGTGGTGTTTATAGCATAATGTTTTTATATAAACTGACTATTCCTAATATACAGGAGGTTCAGGGTGCAGAGGGGCGATGCTGCTAATACTGGCATCCCTGCTTTGTGGTGTCCCTGCAGCCAAGGCCTGTCTGCAGTGTGACCGCAGGATCAGGCTCCTACATGAAGACTTAGTCCTGTCTGCTCCCACTGTGGCCGACCAGATTGAAATGAAAAAGATTTGTGACCACGCCTATGTTACTTACAGAGAGACCAGCTTGGAACGAAATGGGGTCATTGGTGAGATCAAAACCTGGTTTAGGATCTGGCAACAGAAGCATTTATTGCTATGGTCCTCATCTTCTTCTGAATTAGGTTTATGAGTAACTCTAAAATGATAAAAATCAGTTTAAAAAAAAATGGCTGTGTTTCCCATTGCTCAGATCCCACCACTCTATACAGAGCCAGAACTGAGTACCAGAGTGAATTTGACCGTTTTCTGAAAACCCAGCACACTGGTAAGAAACAACAAACATTTTACAGCTCCTATTGAAATGAATATGCAATAGTTCCAACAAAAACTGTAGCAAAACACTTGTAATTGTCCTCCTGTATTACCACAAAATGTATTTATCTACACCACATTTTAAGACTTGCTCTTTTTTAAAGGGTCTGTAACATTTGAAGCCATTCAGATCATGGAGAAAGGAAGGAAGATCTTGGAGAAACACTTGGATGCTTTCATCCATGATGGTAATCGGTATGACTAACAGTGTGACGGCTGTGTACGAGATTCATTGTTTTAATTTAATTTCTTGGTGTCTTTCCCAGGATTGTGCCCCAACATGTGTGGTAAGCTTGTTCCCTCTGGCTCTTTCATCTGTATCACTGTAAATCCTTGTAGAAGCATGATGTGTACATACAGGACTGTATTGTATGTTTACAGGACATGTATCTACACATGTGTGTTCTCAGGGCTTCTGAATCAAATGGTAATGGATTGCTTCTCATGCCGCTACAGGATTTACATCTGTCCCTCTCCCACTGGCCAGCAGGACTGTGGTGGTACAGTTTTATTTGTCTGTTTGTCTGATGGTGATGTTGTTTATGATTGGGTGGGTGAGTGGATCGGGGGAGTCGTGATGGGAGTCACCAGAGCACATGGACACATGGAAATTTGTTCTTAAGTAAGGCACTGCTGCTGCCTGTCCATGTGCAGGGCTAATAAAAAAGATTCATGCACATGAATGAAGCATCTCTCTTCCTCTCTCCTCTTCCCCTTCTCACCCGTCCTCCAGAGTATCCACTGCAGGCTGAGGAGGGAGGCCAGGCTGTGCTGGACTGTTTTCTTCCATGGCATCGTCTTCTGTTTGGAAAACCAGAGTACAGCTACTCCTGGGCCCCAGGAGTACCGGGAACTAACAAGGTCTCTCTAGAAATACTGACGTGTCCTCACATTACAGCAAAAAGAGAAATACAAGTAATAACGTACTAGTTTTAAACCATGTTGCATATATCCAGGTGTTTTACATTATCCTTTGTTTAGCAGCACAACATCATTTTTATATGCATATTTAGTTTCTACCAGCCGTTACACCCACTAACTTGCAACTATCACTTCCTAATTTTTACATGCAGCTGAATGAAAGTGACTTCATACCCCTGGTTGTGACGGATGACTCATCTGTGATCTTGAATCAGCTGCACATGGATGAACAAGGAATATATCGCTGCTCTCTGCAGGAAGCTGGAACTATCTTCTATCAAATTACTTTCCTACTCAATGGTAAAGTGACAGCTCTTAGACATGTTATCTCTGGAAAAACTGTCAGATAATTCAGCTCTGAAAGGACAAAAGCCAACATTTTTGGTACTTCTGAACAGTTGTCACATCAGAGAATAAACACTCCTATCATCATTTGTCAACTCTAAATAATTTAAAATCTGTTAAATCTATTAGATATTAGCTGTAATGAATTCACTCCATAGTCAAAAATAAACTGAAGACATCTGAGTTCTGCATGGGATAGATACTGTATACAGCATGTGTGTGTCTGTTTGTGGTTTGCGTCTGTGGGGTGGATGCAGGGTGTGACAGTTTCTTTTCTCTTTTCTTTTGCTGCTGTGTGGGCGTTGTTGAATTGTATTCAGTTATTCTTCTGTACATGTTCCATAATATCTACTCCTAAAATGTGGTTTAATTCTTCCTATCAGTACCTAATGTGACTCTACAACTCTATTAACACATTGCGCCTTTATTTTTATCCTCTTTCCTCACAGTCACCCCTTTACCCAACCAAACTCACCAGCCCCTCCTCACGCTGCCCACCCCGCCTCGTGGAGACAAGTACTCACCTTTTCAAAATACTGAGGGTCTGCTGGTGCCAGTCATCACCATGGTTACTGTTCTTGGTCTGGCAGCAAGTGTAGGTCTCACAGTCATCCTGAGGTGAGCAGTGGTTGAATGGGTGGAGGGGAGAAAGTGAGAACAAGAGCTTAACAGGAAGGGTGGAGGTGAACTAGGTGGCAGACAGACAGCATGACAAACTAAATGAGTTGAAGGAAGGTGTCTTTGTTGGCATCTAGTTTGAATACTGATTTATGATTTATGAGGTTTAGGCTTATGTGTATGTCATGTGAAGCTATTGTACCGTAATTGTAAATAGGTTCATTGTTTACAATTGAAGCAATTACACCATTAGGCTGTTTTCTGTGAAAGTATCGGTGCTTCTTCCAGGAAGTGATGTCAGTTGCTCAAGCCTGCAAATCAAGACATGTTGACTTTAAAAACACATAAAGGTCACACATTGAGGCAATTTAATGGTTTTTGTGTTTGCCTGTAAGTTAGAATTACAGCTGATGATCTTTTCATAGAATAATGATTAATCAGCAGAGAGCAGCAGAGGAGCCAAGGAGGAAGAGGAAGGAGGAAAAAACAACACATAACATGGTGTGATGAAGATACTATATACAGAAAAAACACACCAGTGTTTAAGTTAATGCCAGTGAAGTTAAATCACTTCAGGTTGTACATGTTGCTCACCAGTTAAATAAATTTCCCAGAGTAAGGTGATAAGTTGTGTTAGAAATGATATGGAAGTGAGAATACATGTTGGCTACATGTGAGTGTGGTTCCTCAATGCATGAAATACCACAGAGGTGTCTTTTTATCTTTAACAATGAAAAAAACTCAAGGATATTTAGCACGTATCTTGGTGATGCATGAGATCTCACTCATAAAACAGAAAGTATGTAGTGTAATATAACTCAAATCTATTACGCACACACACCCACTTCAGATGATATACACTAAAAATCCCCCTAAAACCACTCAACTTTCCGAAAAATTTAACCAGAAAACTTAAGCTATCTGACTCCAGCAGAAACATGGTCTCCTGAAAGAGGAGCTGGTGCTGTCACATTTATGAGAGGAATGAGGGATGAGGTAAATCCCAATATTACAGAATTTTTCAGAGATTAATAGTCCCAAACAATTAATCTCGGGTAATCCCCCTGTGGGAGGACAGTGGGGACAGAGAGTTAAAGACTAGCTCCAGGGCTTATTTTAATGTTTATTTACTCATACGTGTATTCAGTGAGAGGGCTGAGTAAGGGCAATTTTTTTGACATTAATGTTCTTACATCCGTTCATTCTGAAGTCACCTCTTTCTTACAACATCATCACCAGATTGTGCATTTTGATGATGTAAGCTGTTACTAATTCAAAAATAGTCAACTACATTTACAGAACTTCTGCCATGATCTCCGCAACCTCCTAGTCATCAGCTGTACAAATCTGTCATGCGGCATAGTGTTGCTCACCGTTGCCCTTTTTGTCTCTGATTTTTTTTTTTAGCCCCTAACACAATGTTGAAGTACAAGCCGAATTTCCTGACAGGACAGTAAAAAAAATCTTCATCTTTATCATGATCAACAACACAATCACATATATCTTTAAGTATTGTGTCAGGCCTGAGTGTTCTCAGCTAATTTTTTGCCAAACATGACACTATGCTTTACTAATATTGGAAAGATAAACGAAAATGAAAGTGAGTGACTGATATGAGTCACCGCATCCAGGAATTAACTAGGTGAGGTCTGAAATCATTTATCAATGCTCAGGTTCCTCAGGGTAATTTCTTTTGAATCTGGTGTGCCCAGTTTGGGTTATAAGCTATGACAAACAAACAAAAAAATGTAATGATGCAGGTTGAGGGGGCGTTTGCGTGGAGGCTGAGGCCTGCGTGGATGGTGACAGGATGTATGTGTGATGCTGTTTCCTGTCGGGCCACTGAGATAGGGGCGAATGCTGGGGGAAAAATAAGAAACATTTCTTTAGGACACCCTCATACAGAGACACATCACAGTCTTCAGACTCAACACCCCCATCATTTCACTGTGGTTTATATGTGTGTGTGTGTGTGTGTGTGTGTGTGTGTGTGTGTTCAAGCCCAAATTGCAAGCTGACGCTGGAGTAAATGCATGCTCAGCCACTATACTGACCATCATGATGAGCAGTGTTCCAAAGTGTGTGTGCGTGTGTCTGTGCATTCTGGTGTGGATTGAAATTGCAGCCTCAGCAGGGAGACGACATAACAGAAGGAGGGGGTGCTGCTGAGGGGACCAGCAGGCAGCGGTAGGGGAGGGGGAGGAGGGAAGTGGGAACATGAAGAAAGTGGAGTCAGAGGTTTGAGTGGGAGATGTCTGTGGGAAGGCAGAGTGATTTGAATGTGGGTTATGAGGAAATTAAAACAAAGACGTCAGATTACACCTTATGATACAAACTAGCCCACACTGCACATAAAGTATGTTTCCCTGTGTGTAACAAGACAGTGAGGGTGGAGAGGCGTCTACAGTATCCTACTCAAATAGAATTACTGGCATTTGACTTAAATGTTACTCATGTAGAATTAAGACATTTTTCACTGGAAACTACTCAAATGAAAGCACAAAAAAACAACTTTTGAGATGTATTTAAACTCAAAGTGTTTTCAAATCTAATGTGTTTCTCTGTTCACAGCTAAATAAGCAGTAAAGTTAAAGTTCATTAAACTCATCATTGTTTGTTTGTTTGTTACAAATTTAACACTGAGAATTAATCAGCATCATTTGATAGGGGACGGCAGTGTCACTCTCAACCACCTCCACATGTTGATCTAGTTGTTAAATCCTGAATGGGGCATGGCTGCACACATCATCTTTTCCTCTTCAAACCAGACAAGATTATAGACAAGAACAGAAATTACTCATGTAAAATAATCAAAATTGTTCTAAATTTAACAGAGATTATTAGGTTCATGTGGAACCCAGTTGCTCTTCAAGGTCACCAAGAAAGAGCCTAGACTGACTCTTACTTTAACATGAATGCAACCTACCAGCCATCACCAATTCATTAATAGAGTTAACAGTATTGTGAGTTTAATAGCGAATGCTGATCATCTTTTCCTAATGGCAACATTTTCAACAGAGTTGCCTTAAACAAAAAAGATTATTGTTTCCTCTTGTTTCTCGATAAAGACAAAAGGCTCTTTGAGTAACGTTTAATAAGTGACGTTTAATTAACAGTGCTCTTCTAATTAAGGAAATTACTAAACTAAGATAACACTGTTTTTGTCTTTTTATGGCATTTGATGATGATTATCCTTTGAGTGTAAGTCAACATAGTCAAAGTTCAAGTTTATGAAAATAGTTTTCAGTTAAAACTATGGGACTATTTTTAATAAGTTACTTTACACCTCATCCGTATGCCAAATGTGCGTGTACGTGATAACACCGTGTGACCGACACATGAAGGCCTGAATATTCATTAAATGAGCAGATAGCTGCGCATTTGATTGTGTACTGTGCAACTATTTTCTGTGAAGCAGAGATGTTTTTGCAAAGTCATTATGAAGAAAGTTAAAGACGCTGTAGAATTCCCAGCAGAGCAGAAACAAATTAATGTTTTCCAGAATTATATTAATGTAACACTACTTTTCCTTAACGTGCATGTGTGACAATATAAAAATAACTAAGGGAGCGTGTTGAGGGAAGTGTTGCGTTTGTTTGTGATCTACATGGGGCAAAAACAGTTAGGCTATACAGTGGTCTGGAGAGGCTTAGGTTGATCCCAAACAACTAAAACTCAGCTTTCACCCTTTCCTCTGAAGGCTGCCGTTTTTAGCATAACGTCATTCAAGACAAAAACACTGGATAACCCCAAACGACCACGTGCGCGGTAGGAAAATCAACCTTGACGTCAATGTCCATATTAGGAGTGTCGCGGAGCCCATGTATGGTCCTTCCGTCTCTGACGTGTTTCTCCTGTGGAAACCAAGGCGGGACCGCGGAGATCCTGCCCCCTCCACCGCTATTATCAATGAACAAGGAAAACTCAATCTAAAGCTGATTTTAACCGACCGACACACAATCAACAAGTACTCTCCAAACACTCTTATAGCATCATTTCTATAATATCATACTTAAATTGCCATAGAAAACCAGACTTATTTTGTATTCTTTTTTATTTGTAGTGGTCAAGAGCAAATAGGCTAGTTTATTACTTTTAAATTATTTTAAATTCACATGTCAGCTATGATTTCGTGCCATGAGCCTTTGGAATTAACTGGCAATGAGCTGGTTCACATACTCAGGACACCGCGGGACCGGTACACCTCTGCTGGGTGTGTGGTGCTGGACTGCAGACCTTTCCTCGAGTTTTCTTTGGCGCACATTTGCGAGTCTCGAAACGTCAACTGGAACTCAATGCTGCGTCGTAGATCCAAGGGCTCGGTGGTGGCTCTGGAGTGGCTCATACCGGACAAGACGTTCCTGTGCCGCCTGCGTCGCGGGGAGTTCTCCTCTGTGGTGGTGACGGATAAGAACAGCCGCTCCCTGGCCGAGCTAAAGCCAGAGAGCGTGTCCCAGATGCTGATCACCGCCCTGCAAAACGAAGTCGAGACGCAGATCTGTTTTCTACAAGGTAATAATGAGTTAAATATCTTTTCAGTCACCAAAAATATTATTATTGACCTGCTGGTGAAATTATGTTTTCGAAGAAAGCACGAGCTATTAAAGTTTTTTTTTACCAAATCACTATACCAATATCATTAAATAAGAGTGTAACCTGTTTGTTAGAATCTCTATCAAACCTAAAGTATAAACAATTTTTTAAAGAAATGTGTACATGCTTCCTTTTATTGTTTCATACATAATACATTTTTAGGAGGACTTTGGTGAAAGTTAATTCTGTTTGACCTCCATTTAGGTGGATTTGAGGGGTTTTCAGAGGCTTATCCCGAGCTGTGTTACAGTAATGACCTCTCTACAGTGGAGCCAGAGCCAACAGTGAAGGGTCGGAGGACACCAACATATGATCAGGTAAGATAAATTTCACGTTTATAATAGAAAATACATATTGTAAAACAAGTTTGCATCAGAAAGCTTAATGGAAAAAATGTACAGCATGAAATGAGCCCAAACAGTTTTAAACATGGACTCTGTTTTGATATTGTAAATTTCAGAATGGTCCAGTGGAGCTGCTGCCCTTCCTGTTTTTGGGCAGTGCCATCCACTCCTCCCGCAGAGAGACCCTGGCAGAAGCGGGCATCACAGCTGTGCTCAATGTTTCTTCCACCTGTCCTAACTTCTACGAGGGGGAGCTCGTGTACCTGCGGCTCACTGTGGAGGACAGTCTGGCTGCTGACATCAGAGCCTACTTCTACACAGCCATTGCCTTCATTGGTGAGTTCTTCCTCTAAACAGCCATAGCTCCCAACCTGTGAACTGTGTAACCTCAAAATGAAAGTTCAGCCATTATTTGCTCACTGCATTGTCAATAAAACTCCCACAAAGTCAGCAAACACACAGCGAAACAGTCTCGTCTTAGTCAAATGAGCCATTTTTAAAACTACTCAAAACAATTCTCTAAGCAGCTTGTACACCATTATCCATTTTTCTTGAACTTAAAGACCAACAGCGTAATCATCTGGTTACAAAACAACTGGATTAGGCCAGACAAGCTACAAAAGACAAATTTATTAACAATAATTCTTCCCTTCTTTTGCCTGTTCTAAATTTATATGTACTCAGTTGAATTTCAGTTAACATGGTGATAATGCAGTAGCTTGCTGCTTCAGGAAAACATTTTATTTATTTGTGCTTATAAATCTTTCTCACTGGTGTCAAAAAAAATGATGATGTAATAGAGCACAGTATGCTGATGTCTCTTCTGATGATGTAATATACTATAGAGCACAGTATGCTGATGTCTCTTCCTCTTTCCATCTCGCCTACAGACTCAGTGAAGCAGAGTGGTGGTCGGGTGCTGGTGCATTGCCAAGCGGGTATCTCCCGCTCTGCCACCATCTGTCTGGCCTACCTCATGCACACACAGCGTTTTCGGCTAGATGAGGCCTTCGACTTTGTGAAGCAGCGGCGTCACGTCATCTCACCCAACCTGGCCTTCATGGGACAGCTGCTGCAGTTTGAGACTGACGTTTTTTGATGCAAGTACATTTCAGAAGTGTTCACTTTGTTCATTCAGAGAAGAAGCCACTTGTGCTGCTGGCATCACATGGCTGGTGGATCTGGATTTCCATTTTAAATAGAAACTGACAGAAAGGATCTTGATCCTGAAACAGCAGTTTGCAATATAAACCCCAGTGTAGTACACATAATAACAGCTGTGATCTTGAGCCAGAAGATGGAGCAGCTATTACACAATTTCCCGGACACTTTTAATATTTTTACGTGCTTGTGTGTGCTTGTGTGTGTGTTTTTTTTTTATTACATTATGTTATATATGCCTGAATATTTGCAAGGGCTGTCTTATTTTCATACTGAAAGTTGTTCTGTCACAGCTACAGCCACTGTGACATGATGTGTTCTATGAGACAATACTGTGCTACCTACTTAGAGCAATAATGGATCTCAAGTTTTACTAATTTATGAAAATGCCCTTACCAGGGCTGGTGCCTTATCATTCTGTGCTGAGATTGATCACACGTTGTACACTCAAACTTAATGAAGATGTTCTAACATGTAAATAGAATGTGTATTTATTATTTCAAGATTTGTTATATATTTACAAGGTCTGGCCAATTCCTGATGTTTTTGCACTAAAATAAAAGCATGCCAGAAAACACACTGGGTCTATTTACTCTGTTTTTTCCTTTACACTGTAGTCTATACAACACACCTCACTTTTTACACTAACACCCAACACTGGTTCTCCAGACAGTGTGTTGCAGTCTTTTCACAGAGCACATTACATATGGATAATTTCACACACTGACCTTGCCACACTTGATTCATTCTTGCTGAACCAGAAGGTATTAAATCTGTGCATTGCTAAGTATTTTAGAGGATTATCTGCAGAGAGTGGGTCTTACAGACTTCCTGACCTCAGCAACCACAGACATACATTTCACATCTGCTTGCTGAAGTTGCGAGAGCAACTTTGGACATTTGGGGGGAGAATCTGGTAAAAAAAAAAGTTCACTTGTGATAGAGTAGGAATCGACGCGCAGTCAAGAACTTTGGATTGTCCACATCATTGTCTGATTTGTAGGCATGACATTTTGATATAATTCTGTACCTTCATGTTACACACTGTATGTAGCTTTGGTGCTGTTCATCATTTTTTAGATTTCAACTGGACTATTATCTGTATTACATCCACAGTGGGCCACATTTAAGCATGTCCGCATTTGTTTGCTGGATGGATTACATGCTCTCAAAGGTCAAAGGAATTCAAACTGTACCTCACAGCATTATGAGTTTCTACTCAAAGCTCAGCTGTAATGCAATTGAAATCAGTATATTATATATTGTCTCTAAAGCTGACCATATCAGAAAAAATGACAAAGAACTTCTGCTAATAGTGCATTAAAAATCAGCTTTCACCACTACCTCATCCCCTGATGCTTATTGTCCCACCCACACCTTGTTGGCCAAAGCTAAAATAACCCACTTCCTCTCATTTGCATCTAGCCATTGTTCAACATTTACACAAGCGTAAGTGATATGTTTGACATCATCCTTCCATTAGCTGCTGTTTTCCAGAGACACAGGGCTGAGAAATGCACCTTGAACTTCATAGGTTTTGATTAACACTGAAAGTTCACTTTAACTGAAGCTCAGAAACTATTCTTAATATGTGTGTATACAACACACCGAGCTTCCATATGAATGCTCTCCCATTGACTGATACATATAAAATGTATTTTCCATAACCATCATATAAATGAAATGTGAAAAAATTAAAGCAAGAAGATGAGAAGACAAAAAAATATTAGCTCGGTTTGAGTGCATATAATTTACTATAGACTGTATAGGTAGTCTGTGGTGGAAAGTATGTGACTTTACTCAAGTATACATTTGAGGTATTTGTATTTTACTTGAGTATATATATATGCATTTAATGCTACTTTATATATACTACAATATAATTATTATACTTCACACCCTGATACATTAATGTGAAAGCTATAGTTAACAGTTACTTTTCTGTTTACGATTTCACCTTACAAAACACATGATAGTCTTTTAAAATACAATGCATTGTCAATGATTAAACCAGTTGTTTCTGACCTTTTTGGCTTATGGCCACTTTATAAATAAAAAAAAAGCAGCATCCATTTGTTGTCACATGTATTACAGTTGATAGCAGTTCCACCAAAAAGAAGATGTCTCCTCTAAATTTCTTGGTCACTGAAATGACATTTCAAGGCCCAAATAGGTAAAAGTGTCCAGTGGTTAACTGAAAAGACAAGGATTTGGTGAAGTTAATTAATTAAAATCAATACAAATTTATGTAGAGCATTTATCTTCGGAGGGACTTGAACTCTAGAATGAGAAGTTATAATTAGTTCCATCTGAACCATTTATAATTTACACATTCATGCATCAGACTTAAAAATCTAAGTCAATAATACACAATTAAATGTGACAAAGAATGGGAGAGCTGGGAGGGAATTCATATGAAAGCTCAGTATACAAGTTAAATAATGTTTACCCATTTTTTGGCCCCAAAGAGGGGTTGTCAGGCCATGTTGTCATAAATCTTCAGATCCCCACAGTCAGCAACATCATTTTCCATACCTAATCTACCTTTAAACCCCTCTAAATAAACTGGTTATAGGGAGCTCCAAAATCCTTTTTCTGTACAGGGCCATGCTGCTGAGGCAGCAAGGAGCTCCCAGCCACTTAATAATGTATATGATAAACATTCTATAGCTTCTCTACCTTAGAAACTGGGACATCATACACTGTCAGTGGCCATAACAATCATTGCAAAAGACCAAACTGCAGGCACCACAGTTTGAGTTTGCCTGGGAGGCCTGACGCCTGTATGCTCTTAATCCCATCAGCTGCTTCCTGTCTGAAACCCTGAATCTGCTCTTTATCACTGAGAGCTGCATCATACCACCTACCTAAACTTTTGACTGGCTTCTCTAACAATGTTGGACTTGGCTCATCATTTATACAAAACCTTTTATCCGACAGCACACCTTTCACTATTGAAGTGCGCCTTGATTTCTCTGGCTTCACTTTCATTCTAGCCCACTTTAAGTTAGCATTCAGCTTGTCCAATAGCCTTTTGGTGCATGGTACTGTGGTGGTGATAGTTGTCATATCATCCATGTGCATTCATACATTTTAAGCCACCTAGTTTTCTCTTAGGTACTTTCAAGGTGCCACTTTTCTCCTTATTAAATAGTACCTTGGTGAACTTATATGGATCCTTATAAAAACTTGCCCTAGCTCGTTCCTTTTTCTGTCTACCTTTTCTAAGCCTTTCTGCTCTCCTTAGATTTGCCAGCCTAGATTCCAGGTCATTTTACAACATATTAATGCCCTCGCTCTCACTTTATGTTGTTTTTCTCTACTGCTTTCTAAGCTGTCTTTGTTCTTGAACAAGCCTGCCAGTCTGCTGCTGCCGCCTTGACTTTATTATCTCTGCTGCTGCTGTATTTCTACTCTTGCAAACTCCAAACCTTTGCACTCCATATTCATAAATTATATCTCCCATTTTCTTTAGCTATTTTTCAACTGTCCCTTTCGGTACTTTGAGAGCACCTATCAGATGTGAATTAACTGTTGCCCATATACCCCTCTCACTTGCCTTAAGCCAATTTACTTGGGGTTTTTGCCCTACGCTCTTCTCTTTCTTTGGCTGCCTACTCTCACCACTTTCCTGAATCTGCTGTTCAGCACTACCTTCTGCTTCCTCCTCACTGGTAGGAATGCTGATATCCTGTACTCTTTGGTTACCCACCAGTTGCTGGATTTCGCCTGACTGATGTGATTGACTTCTTAGCAAGTGTTGTTCAATGCGGGGTATCTAACCATTGCGTTCTTCACCTGCCTCCAACCATCTTTTCCTTTCCTTGTTTGATGTCCTCCAGCCACAGTGACATACCTGCAGTTGTCTTTCTTCTACCTTTGATACTGTTGCTTTCACTGGAGTGCCTGCCCTTCTCAATGTCAAATCTGTTCCAAGGTCAGCAATCGGGTGTCCTGCCTTTGAGTCATCTTCCATCCCTGTTCTTGCTGACTCTCAGGGTATGCTCTTTTCCTTACTTGTGGTTTGATTGGTGCAACCTAAATACACTAGACTGCTGCTGTCATGAGTTGCCCGTCCATGTGGCCCAAATGGGGTCTATTTCCTCCTGTCAGCTGTCTTTCCAGGCTGTCACTTGGTCTTTCTTTAGATGTCAGTTGCCCTACTCACAGCAACTTCTCATGAGAAGTATTATTTGAAGAGTGGGAAAATTATATGAGTCACATGTCATCTTTCTGAAGTACCAGCACTTTTGCTTTTAAAAGGCTGTGAGTACCTCTTCCAGAATTGTGGGCATTGGTTTACAGGGAGACAGTGCTCTCTAGTGACAAAGTTTTGAAGTGACCAGAAATCAAGATAACTCAAAAGTGTCCAGCAGATGATGCCAGCAGACTGTTAAAGATAACAGAAATGCCATATGTACAGATCCCACGCACTTCATATCTGTCAACTAATACAGGCTGCACATTTATACATTTAACTGACATTTAGTGTCATTTCACTTGTTCAAGAACACACCTCTGGAGACAAACTGTTCCTGCTCCCTTCTATTTGAATGTCACTCTCATCTCATTTGTTGTATTCCCTTCCTCTTCACTCACTTAGACCCTGTAATGAAAACAGACCCAAGGTGTTATTCACACTTCAGATTAAACAGGATCAATCATGTTACATTAGGCTGTGGCAATACCTACCAATGGTGTGAACTGTATGAGTGTGTATGTACCTGTAGTGAATGAACAAAAAGAAGAGCATGAGAGATTAGAGATCTGCACAGGGATCAGGCCTAGTGTTAGACGTAGTGGTTTACAGTATTTGCTAGTCACTGCGGAAGACTCACTCAAACAAGAAATCCCAGCCAAAGAAAAGTGCTAATAGATAATATGAGCAATATGCGTGATATTGCAATATTACACTGTGGCGATATAACACACACATTCACTGACCCGCAGGCACACGCAGACACAAGCAGCAGTTGTCACCATTACAAATGCAGTTAGGAGAATTGCTGTATGACCATCTGGGAGTGCTCCTTGTAATTGTTTGTAGACTGCACACACACACACAAACACTTGTAATGCTATACTTCTGAGGACCCTCAGTAATAATGCATTCCTGAGTCCAGTGGGTTTGTGAGAGTATGAACAGATGGGAAATAATCTGACTTCTACTATAAAGATTTTGTCTACTGTGAAATAATGATACATATATATATACTGTATATATATTTGCCTCTCCAGGCCTCTAAAGCCCATTCAAATAATCAGTCTGAGAAGATATAACTATTTGATTTACCTGCTAGCAACTCATAGTTGAATGTAACCTGCGACAAGGGGCCACGAGTACATATTTCTTTGTTTTAAGGACTCACAGGTCATTAAATTGTTAACTGCAGCCCTAGCCCTAAATGTAAACATCACAAATACATACTTGACCAGAACCAGTACCTCATTCAAACTAAATCTAATTCACACTGTTACTCTTAAACCAAAATTTCCTCACTTTCCAAAACCATCGTCACTTCCTAGGTCTAAAAATCAAATGGTCTTCACAACAGTAGAAGTACATGAGCACACTGAAAACTAGAGCCAGGATCAAGCCAATAACTCAAAGAGGACCTAAACTGAAAGGGCAGGTGCTGAGCTGTAATTGATTTGGACCTGAACCATAATGTACACTCTCACCACAGGCCTGCTTTGTGCTGACCTGGCTGCAGATATCTCTACTCATTTGGGAAACAGTCTTCAAAGGCACTTTTTTCTTAGTTATGTTTCATATTACTCTACCAACTTGTTCCAACTTGTTCTTACTAAAGTGAAACTTTTTCAAAGCACATAAACCTTTCTCAAAAGTTGGTGCCTTTTCCAGAACAGGTGTAAACTTTTTCAATCTGGACAGTAAGCAAGAAGTACTGTACTGTTCTGTTCCACTGTGTGTGATCCATTGCAGCAAAATTTCCTCCGGGCGTGTGTAGTCTGCTGTATGTGTGTTTGTAGTCTATACACTTTCATTATATTATACAACAAGCACTTCAAAAGCAGTGTACTGTGCACTGAACACTGAGTGCTGCACAGACTCTCTATAACTTTGGCATCAGTGACATACCCCTGTTCCCTAGAATGCATTTTCCGCATGGCACTAAACATGGGTCAGCCGCAAAAACAAAGACACTTGATTGAAGTGCACTGTAAAAGCTTTACACTCTCTTCCTTTATATTTAAAATGTATAGCATGGAGTGAAAAAATATACAAACCATTACTGGCTGCAGTTTCAGGTCATACAATCAGAAAACGCAGAAATCCCAACTGTAATCCCATGCGTGGCTAGGTGAGCTTCTCTCTCAATAAAGCAGCAGTGTGTGGGAGACAAAAACAAGCAAACAGGACCTCCACACACCATTCATAAGACTGTATGTGTGCACATGTGTGGGCTGGTGATTGTACTGTATGTATGTTGTTTGTGTGAGTTTATATCACAAAGGCCACCTACCTACTTTCAAACTAGCCAGCATGACGTAGGTTTCACTTGATAGTTTAGCAACAGGGCACTTGATGTCAGGTAGGCAACAAATCACGAGGGATGCCGTGGATGTTTGTGCTTCCTGGGAGAGGAAGTATTGCATTGTGCGTAATGCAAAGAGATTAAAAATGGAAATCAATTGATGATGTAAATGCAAAAGCACAGAAATCTACAACATGAGCCTCACACTTGTGTCCTGCAACAAGCTGAGGTGGAAGATTTTTCAGTGCACTGAGGCATACATAAATCACTTTTACTGCAACATTGATGTGTCATAATTACCAAGTTCTTTGCAGAATAAGGTATCATGTCCAAAATTTGTAACCTCATAAAAAATATATGATGTATTGTTTAAGATTAAAGTAGGTGGACCACCCACAGTTTAATGCATCAGTAACTTAGCACTCCGAAGGGGACTGTTCCTCAAAATGAAGGGTTACACTTGATTATATTACATTTTTTCATGGTTTTTCCAAATCAAAACACTGACTACTTTCTCACAACTGAGAATGAGTCCTCCTTTAACATGGTCTTACAATCTATATTGATCAGAACATAAAGTGGACGACCTTGGGAAAACATTCACAAGCCAGCACTACAACATGTACTGTACGTACATCTTACACCTGCCTAATATACATGGATTATGGCTTTTACAGCCTCTGACTGAGCTGTTGGAGGTTACATGAAACATGGAGTAAAGGGCAGAGAGTGACGATGTAGAGAGGATGATAATGATGATGAAGAAGAAGAAGAAAAGGGGGAGGAGGATGACTGAGTAGTTTCTTTTTAAAATGCAGGAGTCTCCAGAATGAAACTAATGTTTCTGTGAAGCAGATGGCATCAGCTCTGCACTCTCAGCTGGACACTTCAGCGCCCCGTTGAGTTAATTGACTGAAACAATGCCACCCAACAATTCATTTCTAATAAAACTGCGTTGGTTGAACCGCTGGGGTGTAGATTTAATGTGAGAGAGAGGGAAAGGGGGAGTAAGATGAGCTACAGTGATTGAGAGGTACGGCTCCCATGACGCCCACAGCTCCACAATGACATCACCAGCACTAAAAAGAAGCGCAAGCTGGAGATGGGAGGCACCCCACTTATTATATTTCATCGCGAGGTCCTGTTTGCAAGTAAAGATGCTGCTGCGCCTCTCTCAGGAAACCTGTGATGTGCGCCAGCGGAGTGGCTGAATCATGACATCCTGGTGAACTTCTGGGGAGACAGAAGTGCCGAGGACCGAGAAACAACTCCTGAGACGCACGGACTGGAGGTGTCCAGCAGGGATGATTTCTCCACTGAAAAACAACGTGTGTTGACTACGGTCCCCTTGCACGGACTGGACAGCTTGAGGTTAACTTTGACTTTTCTCTTCTTCGAAATGACTGGAAACGCTTGTATAAGCGCAGGGCATCTTTCGCAGGGAAACATCAGTATCTTTTTTTACTATGAACTACTGTAAATATTGTATTACAATAACTATAAACACCAATATCTTTTTTATTATGAACTACTGTAAATATTCTATTATAAGAACTATATTTCACGTTGTCTAAATTATTCTGTGCTCGAGGTGCAGATGAGACGGTCAGGAATAGGCGCGTCTCCAAAGGAGGATTCAGGGAGACTTTATTCTTGCATTCAGTGTCGCCTTGGTGTAAACTGCCCCAGATCATCTTATTATAAATTAAATTTTCCTATCTTCAAAATATTAGTGGATTAATCCACTGAGAAAAAGGACCAATCTTTGCGCGCTAAAAAAGTTCTAGTGTTTTGGGCAGTATTACAACACTGCAAAGGTGGATGCACAGCAAACTTCTGTTTTTCAGGGGCAAAATCTGCTGCATGAAGTAGTATGGCAGTTTAATTAAAAGGCACTGATCCGTGTCTTTGAGAAGCCGTGACGCATTGCCGGGGACTGTTTTGTATGCGTAAAATGAACTGGAAAGAACTGTCTTGGTGGACGCAAGGGAGCTAACATTTGAAAACATCACAAAGACAAAACGAAAATAACCTAGGTGAATATGGCGAAAAATGATAATTGGCAATAGTCATATTTTGTAAGTTGTAAACAGTACTTTGCTGTGAACAAACAACACATAATAATCTGTTTGACCAATTATTAAAACCCGTAACAGTGAAATACCTTCTTCATTTTTCAAATTTTATCTAAAGACTCCTGGAGAGCTCAACCCGGCATGGCCACGGCTCAGGACAGCGGCTGTTCCATGGAGCTAAGCGGCTGGAACAGCACTGTAAGCAGTTCCGGAGTCTCCGTCCCCTGTAACCAGAGCGTCCTGAAGCTTGCCCCTTACTCCCCTGAAGCCACGGCGGCCTTCGCCACCGCTATAACCTTGATGGTTCTCTTCACCATCATAGGGAATTTTATGGTCATTATCGCTGTCCTGACCAGCCGGTCACTCCGAAGTCCGCAGAATCTGTTCTTAGTGTCACTGGCCGCAGCGGACATTTTAGTGGCCACCCTCATCATCCCCTTTTCTCTTGCCAATGAACTGCTTGGTTACTGGTACTTCAAGTCTCTGTGGTGTGAGATCTACTTAGCACTGGATGTGCTGTTCTGCACCTCCTCCATTGTGCACCTGTGCGCCATCTCACTGGACCGCTACCTGTCAATCTCCAGGGTTACTTACGGGCATCAGCGGACTCCCAGACGCATCAAAGCCGCAATTGTGGTAGTGTGGCTCATTTCTGCCGTCATCTCCTTCCCTCCCCTGCTCTCACTGAACAAAAGTGAAGGAGGGGACCGGGGGAGTGAGAGAGGACCACAGTGCCAGCTGAACGATGAGCGTTGGTACATCCTTTACTCCACCATCGGCTCCTTCTTCGCCCCGTGCCTCATTATGATACTGGTCTACATAAGAATCTACCAAATAGCCAAACAGAGAACTCGTTGCCCACCAGGAGAACCCCGAAAGGATGGTGTCAATTGTGCTACACCAAGTCAGCCTCCACGACATGTACAAGCCAATGGGAAGGATAATGAAGAAAGCACACCTCCTTCATCCAACAAAGCCAGTGCCAGACCCCCCACCCTTGCCATCACCCTTTCTCCATCCCCAGGAGACTCTCAAAACTCCCACAATCCCACATCCAATAATCTTCTGCAACCTCCATCCCCTTCCCCAGCTGTGACCTCCTTCATAGCCTCCCCTGATACCTCTCCCCATGGTCCCTCGTCCCCCTCATTTGTGCCTCCACCTTCCCCTATCAAGACTAAAAAGGAGGAGAAGAAGAGCAAACGCCAGGGAAGGAAAAAAGCTGACAATAACAATGGTGACAGCTCAAGTACAGAGAGCGATATGGAGCACAGCCATGGAGGAGGCCAAGGCAGCAGCAGCATGCCAGGGTCACCTGCAGGAGGGGGAATGCACTCACCGGCCTCAGTCCAGCGCTACAGAAACATGATCGCCACTTCAAAGGGGGCTCAGCTGGTGCCAGGGAGAAAGCCAAAAACAGAGAACAACCCAGGAGCAGCAAGGCGTAAAGCGATGGTCAACAGAGAGAAACGTTTCACCTTTGTGCTGGCAGTGGTCATTGGTGTCTTTGTGGTGTGCTGGTTCCCGTTCTTCTTCTCCTATTCTCTACAGGCAGTGTGCCCCAAGACCTGTTCCATTCCTGATCCACTCTTTAAGTTTTTCTTCTGGATCGGTTACTGCAACTCCTCCCTCAACCCAGTCATTTACACCATCTTCAACAAAGACTTCAGAAAGGCTTTCAAAAAGATACTGTGCAGAAGCACCAAGGGTACTTTCTTTTAGCATACAAATCCACTGTTTAGATCATGGACACAAACAATTGTTATTTCTAAGGCATAGGGGGAAAAAAACAATCATTTCCAGTTTTCCAAACAATCAAAGGGCTGTTTTAAAAATATGTGGAACTGTGGAAATTCCAGCATAAAATTCAGGACTGAGAGTCACTCTTTTACAATGTGTGCAAACAGGCAAATTGGGCCAAGAATTGTGCTATGTGCAGCTGATACATACATCTTTACAGGGTATGGGGTGAGACAGACATGGAATAGAGGCAGAGCTTGACTATACAAAACTTCCTAGCACTTCAGCACTTCAGTACTACTGATGAGAGTTTGAATGCAGATTACATTTAATAATAGATAATACTAGGAGACAGAGTGGTGCAGCATCACAGAGGAAATGTGCACACACTCTCTCTGGGCTATAAACCTGAGAGGTCTTAAAGAAAGTAAGAAAACTGTTGAGAATTAACTCCCAAATAAGAACAAAGACTGTTCGATGTATAATACATAAGGTTTTGCCGTTTTCAAGGAGAGAGACAAAAGTTAAAAGAAGGAAAAAATGATTTCTATGAGCCAATGGTCTTTCTTTTATTGTTGCACAGCACAATGAGCACACAAGGCTACTAGTTATTTCTTACGTCTGCTGTCTTAATTTTCCCAGCTGCAGGGCAAACGTGTTCTTTGATTTTTATCTAAAAGTACAAGAAGAAGAAATAGTTTCTGATTATCTCAAATCTGATAGCACAGTCAACAGCTCCCTTTTAAACTTGTGGATTTTATGTGGAAAGCCTTCATGCCAGACCCCTTGCCTTTGGCTTGGTATGGGTCATAATGGACACTCAGGTTGTTTGTAATGATTTCACTTTTCATAAAATACAAAACAAGGAGAACATGCGGTGGATTTTGGACTTAAAACAAAAGCATGTGTCTTAGTGAGATGTACAAGTAAGACAGTGTGACCCCCTGTCATCAGTTTAACTTGCTGTTATTCTGCTTTTTAACTTAACCTGGACTGTCACATCAATGGACTTTCAGTGAACTGCTTCAGCCTTTAGACATTTATGTAAAAACCAAAACTGTCTTGCTTTTATTGAAAATGCCTCAGAATTTATTCACAGTATCTAATGGGAGTTACATCTCTGAAGACTGAAAGGACTAGATTTTTATTATTTAACATAAACATTATTTTTCAGAAGCCATGCATCCTGATGAGCAGCGGTACTTGTCAGGTAGACATTTACACTGACTACAAAGGACAGATGAACAATGCAATTATGGATGTGCAATGTTACCCCTAATTACCCCTACATGGGTTATTCTTATAACCATTTGGCTGAGTCACTCTTTGCCAACGCCTCTGGCACATCATCGCATGCAGTGGACCTCTACATAGCACATTTGTTTTGTTACTGAGAGGCAAGAGGATGGATGGTACATTTATTTTTCTCACCAAGAGACTGAGGCTCTGTCAGTTTTCTCCAAAAAAAGGAATAAAAAGAAAGAAAATCTCTCTGTGACTGTGAACAGAACACAGGCTTATTGACTCAATGGGACAAGGGCTGTCAGCAGCAACACTTCAATTTACTAATTGTCTAGTTCTGCTGACCTGTGTGTGAGTGCGTGTGTGTGTGTGTGTGTGTGTGGATGGCCTGGTATTACTCATGTTGTGGGGACAAATATCTGTTTACACAGTTGCAATGTGGGGACTTGACGTCCTTATGGGGACAAAAAGAAAGTCCCCAAAATGTAAATCATTGCAGTTTAGAGTGATGACTTGATTTAAGGTTATGGTGAGGTTGAGGGTAAGGTTAGGGTTAAGGTTGGGCAGGTATTTAGGTTAGGGTTAGTGCCACTTTCTGGGAAATGAATGGAAGTCACTCTAATGTCCCCCGAAGTACTAGAAAGACAACATGTGTGTGTTTGTTTATATATACCTGGAGGGATGGAACAGTAGGAGTACACTGCTTTGTGGGGACCAGAGGCTGGGCCCTACGACTAATTCATCGAATTTTACAAAAATGGTTAGGTAAGGTAAGATTCTTTTAAGGTTAGGGCAAGTGTCAGCTTTGCTTAAAGTTAGGTTAAGTCTCCTGGAAATGAATGTAAATCTTTGTATGGACCCTGTGGGTGATGACTGCAAGGATGTGTGTGTGTGTGTGTGTGCGTGCATGCGTGTGTGTTGACTTTAATCTTTCTCTGTAGAAAGTGTCAGTGCCTCCTCTGGCTGCAGTGTTCTACAGATCTTATGTAATACTGATAATAGCAGAGATCAGATTTCCTGTTACAGGGATCACTTTGCTGTCTGTCATATGAATGTTTCATTTGATGGAGATATCAGTTGTATATCATTACTATGAGAAAGTCTTATCAAACTAAAAGTCAGTGTTTAACAATGGCTATGACTACATGGCTTTTTTGTGATCATCCTCAAGGGACCAAAGAGCCTTAAAGGACACCAGCCTGACAACGTTATCTGGCTCTGTGTTGCTTTAATGAAGTATTACTTTATATTTGGTGTATCTGACAGCAGGCAAAGACTGAACACACTGTATTATTTATTTCCCTGTATTTTGTGTTCTCTGTTTGTTACCTATTTATTGTTCTGTTAATGTGCTTTTATTCTGAAAGTTTAACAAAGTGGAGCTGATCAAAAAAATCAAGAACACTGTACAGATTTTTATTATCTTGAATGAGAGCAAAGTTGATTTATGCCATTGAGCTCTTGCTTTGTGAGACTGAGCTATATTTCAGTTTTGAGGATGTATCTGTGTTGAAGGAACATGAACTCATGCACGTTCTGTTATGTGCATAATTCAGAACTTGCAATGCAACATTTGTCATTGTTTCACCTAGATATAGCACAGTAAAATGTTCGCTCACAGGTACAAGCACATTCATGCTTGTAGAAGCCTGCTGAAGTAGGAAAATTACTCTCTCTTCATCAGAACTACTGTTGTCTAACTTTTCCTGAAAATGTAATCAAATGTGAAAATGCCAGTGGCACTGTCAGTAGCCAGTTTCAGTCGGGTGATTTGCAGGCTTTGTGCGGGATATTAAGGCTACAATCTGCAGCATACAGAGCTGATTGGAGATTCAAATAACTGATTAAACTAAATGGTTGCGAGTAAGGCCTCTGTGCACTTATACAACTATTCATCTGAAATGGTTACTTTCTCTTCAGAAATACAAACTATAGCAACACAATTACAATAAAAAAATAGCCCCAGAGGTCATGGATTCATGACTCCAGTAAATTAGTTGCTGCTCCAAATGTCTAACCATGGCTTTATGTGGTGAGACTGCTGCTTTGTTTTTATTTTAAAAAGTATGACGTTTGGCTTAAAGGTGACAGATGCAGTAGTCTGCCTCTCGATCGTCATCCTTTCCCATGAAACCAGTTGTATTGTCTCTTCACTGACTGTGTTTGGACCAAAATGCATGGTCTGAGCTTTACAATCTTCTATACCCCATCTGTCATCATCGCTCCCCAGTTTGGAAATAAAGATACTCAAAACACTATGAGTCATTCTCCGGCTAATATAATTTCATATGAAAACTCATTTCCAGGAAGAGAATTATCAGTATTTTGTTTCACAAATATGAGAGTTTTAAGAGAATGGTGTTTTTCTAGCATACATGTTCAACCAAATAGCAGTCTAAAGCAATTTCCAGCCATTATGAAATTGCCCTGAATAGCAACATAACTTCAGAAAATAGTCCATAACATTGTGGGCTGATGGCAGTTCAAGATGTCACTGGAAAATTTCCTATCACAGTAGGACATGAGAAATAGGACACAGCAGAAGCAGCATAATGTTGCCTACTGCCAACAAGCACAGGGGAATCCTATAAGGAATTAAAGCCTGTTGCCAAATATCACATTTGCACACATACTGAATAAGCTGTCCTGTAGCAAGCGTCACATTCTGTATTCAAGTAATGAAACACGTTCAGTCCACACACAGATGCAGCCACACACACTGGTTATGACAGCTTGTTATAGTTCAGGACAGCAAGTCTACAGTGAATTATTGATTTATGATACACAGGTATGGGATTTCTCAGTGCTAAATCAAACTTCTGTCCTGCTTTTTTTTACTCAAGCACATACACGTGTTTCTAGTGCTTCAGGGGACATTACAGTGACTTAAATTCATTTCCTGGACACTTACCATAACCTTAAAGGATAAGGCCGGTCATTTTCTATATTAATAGTATTTTCAGCATTCTCCATGCAAAGACTATTATAACTGACACTAAACTGCCTCTGCTCATGATTAATGTCTGTCTGTCCTGGATTAGCTTGTTCATCTGTGATGTAGCTCTCTGTTTTTGTTTGAAAACATCACCACACTAGGTCATGTGTTTTTTTCATTATGAAACCCCAGACCCAACTGTTTGGCCCCAAAAGATCTGAACAGCCAAAATTTCCTGAAGTTAGCACAAGTCGGAGTCCTTTACCCATGTGAGGTCTTACACAAGCTCTCTGCTTTGTTTACAGTCTGCTAGCTCATTACACTAACGTCTGGTGTTTGCCAGTGAAGAAATATGTCTTCCGGCACAGCACTGCATTTCACTGATGTGTTTTAATCGTTTAGAACAACAATGAAGGTCTGTGGCACAGATGAATAAGCTACTTCAGAACTGACACATTGAAGGACATTAACCATGAACAGAGGCAAATAATTGGCAGTGTTAGTGTCTGTATGGACAGTGTTGAAAATACTGTTAATATAGAAAATGACTGGCCTAACCCTTTAACCATAACCTGCCTAACCCTAACCTCCCCCTAATCTTAAACCAAGTCATCAAATTTAATAATTGATGTTTTGGGGACTTGTTTCTTGTCCCCATAAGGATGCCGAGTCCCCACAGTGCGACTGTGTAAACAGATTTACATCCCCATGCCAGTGAGTGATACCAGGCCATGTATAGACGCACATATTTTCACTCAAGAAGTGATGCCCCACCTTTACATCCACAGTTTCATTTTAATATTCATTGCTATGCTGTAATTTGAAGCGACAAGGTGAATGTTTACAACGTAGTATATTCAGACAGACATATCCCTAAGCTCCTTATTCCTTAACTTCAGCTAAAATATAAAGCAGACGTGATTGTGGCAGTGGACGCTCCAGAGAGAGGCTGGAGACAGTCTGACTAACATGCTAAATCAGTTTCATATATATATACATACATACACACACACACACACACACACAATATAGCAGATTTGAGGAAAAAATACATGAGCCTCTACAAGCAGAGGTGTGCACAAAATACATGCAAACACATACACAAAAATATAGAATCACAGACACCCATTCAGTTTTAGTTTTGATTTTGTATGGATAGCATTCCACAGTATGAATATGTATGTGTTTGGAGGGTGTTTGAGCACTGAGCATTTTCCATTTCCTGTCTCTTCCACCTAATAACACCAGATAGATTTCTTCTCTCTGTAATTTGGTTGTTGAAAACACCCAGGAGACAGGGTGAAAAATGAGAGACAGAACAGAAGCAGGCTCTCTCTCCCTCTTCAAGGTGGAGATATTAAAATGCACTTTCACTTTGTGAAATCTATGATAGAAATGTCATTTTTAGTGGGCACAGCCAATTATGATCAGAATCGCTACAAAAGTCAACAACTGTTTAACAGAGTGGTACTCCGTGTGTGTGCTCTACATTTATATCTTTGTTAGGACCAACTTGCACTTTAAACCCTGAGACAGGGAACATATTTAGAAAACGAGGTCACTGTTCTCAAAGGCTTTGTTAAGATGAAGACTTAGGATCTCAGTTAGACATAGCTGTTTGTTGTTTATTTAGACCCTCATTCGTTGTTACCTTGGCAACAGCTGCTCTTACTGCTAAAAGAAGACCTACAGTAATTTACGTGTGCGACACATACAGCACATAGTGACCTACCTGACCGCATCTAAGCAGTGAATTCTCATTGCTGGATTCAGGGTGTCACTATGATATAAATGCCTGTGAGAGTAATCATTATTCATAGCATTTCATCCCCACTGCCCTTTTAATGTCTTATTCTTAGTAATTTTTTAAAATTATCTTCATGGCTTCAAGAATGTTGACATTTTTTGGTATTTGTATTATTTATTAGAATATCTGTTACCTGTCCACTTTGTTAGATCGGCTCGAACACAGGGGTGAGCGAGTCACATATATGACGGACCCAGGTGGCTGACTTCAGTGCAAGCAGTGCTAAGTTTAATTACAGTGAAATACAACAAGGAAATGAATAACCAGGTAGAAGTGGGACCGGGTGTCGAGCTGCAGAAGTGAATACAGTCAGTGGCTGAATGATGAGGAGAAGACCGGGCTGCGGACGCTGGGACTCACTCCTGGGCTGGTCGTGGTGGAAAGTACTGAGGAAGAACAGAGTTTGTACATACAGTTAGTAGGAGACTGTGCATCGACCTGCGTGGTGGAGAAGGAGCCGGGTAGAGGAAGTCCGTGGTCCGGAGAAGCGACAGAGGCGAGGAGGAATGAAACAATGGAGCTAAAGACTGGAACAGAGCTAGGGCGACAAAACGTGAAGATACTATACAGAGAAAGAGAACGGGAAACAAACGGGCCTGAATACTAGAAAGAACTGGCAGGAGAGTGAACGTAGAGCAGGGAATAAATAGGGAGAACTAATCAGGTGCAGCTGGTGGTAATCAGGGGATATGAAGCAGGTGTGTCGGATAACGTAATCAAGGTAAGGGAGCAAAAACAGAGTGAGGGGAGTGAGAAAGGCAGGCGCAGCCGGGCAAACCTGACACACTTAAAGTCTTTTACATTAAAGTCCTTGATTGTTTAAGCTTTACAATTAACAGTGTTTTTTTTTCCCCTTCTGTTTCTTGTGTGTGCATTTGTTGATGTGGCAATATGGCTATCCGTCTGTCTGTCCGTCTATTATCTGACCGGGGGCAAGTCACTGGGGCAGCAGGTTCAGTAGTACAATCCAAATGTCCCTCTCCTCAGCATCGCTTCCAGCTCCTCTTGGAGAACCCTAAAGGCGTTCTCAGGCTAGATGAGATATATAATCTGCCCAGCGTATCCTAGGTCTACCCTGGAGCTTACTATCAGATGGATTTGGAGTTACAATGTCACCATTGCCTCAACACAATACATTTATATCTATCCAAATATATGACTTGCAAAACACTCAGCTGACCAGGGAAACAAGCACCAAATTAATCATTTAATTTGAACACCATACTGCTAAGATGCTGTATGTTGCCTCTAAAGATGCTTTATTAGATTCTTAAGTATGGCAAGCTATTCCAGTGAGAGAGGCTCTGTTTTTATTTTACTTTATTTTATTTTATTTTATGCACTGGTGATTGGCTGAGCTATTTTGATGTATAAGGTTGAAGGGTTGCGGGGGGAAAAATTGCATCAATGAGTCTTCACAACTCCAGAGGCACAGAATTGTATTTGTGTGTGAGTTTGAATAAACCAGATTCAATAATACTAAAAATATGCAATAATTGAAGCACAAAAGATGTGTCAAAATAAAAGCCATGTTATTCTCTGGCTGAAAGGGTGATGTTTTTTAGAGAAACATTCCTGTGTGGTCACACTACTGAATTAGGAATGAGACTCATTTCTGCTCTCCCTGTGGACACAATTCCTCCCATGTTTTTCATGCATATAAACCTAGACACATTATTGTGCCTCCTGGTGTTGATAAAGAAAAGAATGGAGAGGCCAGTCTGTCACATTATTATCATGAACAGCATCAGCTCTGCTGTAATAACTTTATTAGTGCTATGTTTTTTGTTTTAAGTCCAGCCAGAACTCTGATGAGAATCCAAACCAGAACTGAATCATGTGATTGAAAATTACCTTTGCAATAACAATAAAATCTGCAGCTGGAATATCAACACACAATTAAAGAGATGACTTGTGCTGTTGTGTGAGACTTCCAAGCAAGGTTGCTAGATATGGAGAAGGGAGAAAAACGACTGTGTGTCTATTTAGCTGGGCCATCATGAAAAGGGACCACAGTTCATTTTGACACACATGACATGCACGTACCCCCCCACTAATGCGCACAAATGCTAAGGCAGACACACAAGTCAGAGTATACACACAAATCAAATCAAAGCACATACAATGAAAAACAAACGAGCCAAAAATAGACAAACAGATGACTCTCCACTCCACAAGAACATTCCACTGCACAAACAGATACACACTTATTAACACACTTATGGCCACATATGCTGTCATATTGGTATGCACACACACACACACAGACACACAGAAATGTAGCACTGCTGGCAGCAAAAACTCAAAAAAGAAGAGAAAACATGAGTTTTCAGATATGTCCAAACTCATTCATTTACTATGTTGCCTGTCATTATTAGTTCAAGCCTTAGTTGTGTTAAACTAAATATTTCAACAATGCACAGTATTAACTAGTACTTTTTTACTAAAATGTTTTTGTAGTTGACTGTGTGTGTGTGTGTATGTGTTATGATGTGAAGGGTTGTG